GTTTCTTCCAACATGAATCAGTCTGTCATTTTGTGGGTCTAAGTTATCTTATATTTGCAGATATTTGGTTTGGGTAGGAGAAAATGTGTTCAGAAACATTTGATTTCCCTTAAAACTTCCAGCAGAAAACAATCTGATTACATATTTTTCTTTAGTTTACATTTTAATAGCTACAATACATTCAGTTCTTTGTATCATATTTAATAATATCAATTTTAAATAAGTAAATTTTTAAAATATTTCCTATTCTTTCATGTTCCCCCTGTTGCAGCTCAGGACAATAAAGGAAAGGAAGTAACCTAATTTGAATGCATATAGCAACTTTCTTTTTAAAGAAAAGCAGCTTGCAACTCAGATCTGTAGAATGAATGCTAAAATCATGAGGAACTGCACTTTAACTATACATGGTGAGCTATGTACATAGTATCACCACTGTGCTTAGGGTTCTTAGGTGTCACGGTTCTTTACATAAGCTTTCATAGTTTTATTCTACATGTTTTCAGAACAGAGTTGAAGTACAGGATTTACCTGTATAAAGTATGTAAATTAATTACATAATGGCCAGTGAAGAGAAAACAAAATACGTAATGGCCACACTTGGTAAGAAAAGCAGAATTATTTTTCTTTTCCTTGTCCTTTTATTAAGCTTTTTTTGACTGTTGCAATACATGGAGTAAGATCCAGTATGGCAACCTCACCCGATTCCCAAATCTGATTCATTTCTAAAACAGGCCATGTTGCACAGAGCTTAAGGAAAGGATTGTGAAAAAGAAAAAAAATACAGTTGTGACTGCATAACTAAAAGCTATATAAAAATGAATGTACAGGGAGAGCTAAATTATGCTTATACAAGCAACCTTAACTCTGTAATTTCTTGATACCGGCGTGTTTGACTTTCGAACACCTAATTTCTGTGTCAAAAAACATATAAGCACAGCCTTACGCTTTAATCTATTAAATGTAACCTTTGTATGTTGTTTGGTGTAAATAAGGAAGATGTCAAGAATGCCACACACAGAAACTAGGTCAATTTTGACAGTTAAAATGAGTTTTTAAAAAGTATGTTGTTGGTCACATTCACATAGTATGGTAGGGACTACAGCAAAGAAATATCAGAGCTCAGCTAGGTGTCAGTGAGAGGATTGCTCTTGTATATGGTCACACACATAGAGCTGCATGCAAGGATAACCAAATATACTGGCCCAAAGCTGGGAGCACGTGCAGCAAGGGCTGCTTTGGGCCCTGAAGCCCAGCTGGTCCCCCTCATTCAGCATCCTATGTCCAGCCTCTACCTTGACTTCCAGTAACTGACAGCAGCAGCATCCCTACACTCCCACACTTGTGATAGGACCAGTGCAACCTCAGCCATGCATTTTTTTGCAGTGAAAAAATGTCGACTAATTTTTAAACTAAAAATACAAGTTTGATAGTTCTTATTTGACTTCTATTCTGCTTGTGGGATCCTTAGACATCACTTTTAAATGCCTTGAAGCAAGAGTGCTGTTTCTTCGTTACAGGAGCATTTGCAGCACTCTCTTTACTGAGGGTCTTTATTCAGAGGTTGCAGCTGAATCACGTAGAAGTAAATGGGAATCCCGTAGAAGTCAACTCTTTTGTCTGAAGAAGTAAAAAATACTAAACAGACTTTTAACTTTTGTTGGGTTTGGTTTGTTTTTTTTTTTTTTTTTTTTTTTTAATCCCGAAAGAACTGAATCTAGTTCCTTGTGTGCTTTCTTGATATATTTAAACAAATCACTGAAATATTTAATTTTCTCAGAGATGTTTTTTATTATGTTTTCCTTTTTGTTTCACTAGTGTACTTCAGACTTGTCTCATTCAAGACAAGACGTTATGCTTTTCATATACTACGTCTGCTTAGCCACAGGCCAAAATAAATATTACCACTCCTGAAACCTTAAAGTCCTACTTATACTGAGTATGGCACTCACCAGCAAGCAAAACAACACACAGACTAATTAAATACTATTGAAGAGCAATACTGAAAAGTAAGTCTGAGAAGTAGATTTTCTAGGCATTCATTCAGAGATCCACATAACAATCAACGTTAAGAATGAGTGATTGCACTTCCTCTTTGTAACAAAGCCATAAATATTCCAGCTTGCTGTGAAAGAGTTTCAGCAAAGACAACAGTGCCTCAAGGACAGAAAATACTTAGTGTGATGCCATTTTCCACAAAATATATATGATTGTAATGGTGTATAATGCAAACAGATTTGCATGGCTGTTCACTAATAATCCTTGAGCCTCCTCAGTCTCTTCAGAGATGATTACCTCATTGTTCTAAATATTTCTGAGTCTTTGCAGGCCTGTTTCAGTGTAATAAGGAGAAGCTCTAAAACTGTCAAGACCTCCATCTCCACAACTAAAATAAAAAATGATGGAGCTAGCAAGCCTTTTGTAAGAAGGTATATTAACAATTGAAATACGTCCTCTCCATTATATCAGCAGGTGATGATGGAAAAATTTATGTACATACACATAGAATAAAAGCTGTTCTCAAAACTTAAAAAAAAAAAAAAAATCATTTCTTTTATTTTATTTGGTAGAAAGCTATAAATTATACATATAAAAATAAACTACACCCCGCTGAACTATTATTAGGCAGTAATTTTAACCTATCAATTCCTAAAGCCATGCTGTGTAGGATCCTCTCTATTGGTTTACAACCTCAGAGGCATCCCTCTGGTACTTACCTAAAGGTTATTTTTTTATTCTCTATTTAGAACTGATTCAGACCCAGAGCTTTTTTCAAGGTTCTACGTGCCATTACAAACACAAAAAAATACACCAGAGTATCATTACAGATTTGAAGCTGCAGTTACTCCCAGATGAAAATATAAATAATAAAGAAGATTCAGTGCAAAACATATGAATGTGACGGAGAGACATAAAATTTAAAATGATCCTTTTTGTAAGACACCTACATCTGCAAAAAAGCTAGAGCCTCTGAATGATCTAGAACAGGAGGATAAGTTTTATCTATCCAAACAATTGGGTATCTTTCCATTAGAAATAAATTTCTAGGCCCTAGATCTTGCAGAAGATTTGATCATGTGGGCAAGTTTTGATGTACCATTTGCAGTTGAAAGGGAGAGAATAGTGATGTCCCATGTATGAAATAGGCTTTTTGTAGATAATGAGTCAATCTGTACCTATTTCTGAAATCCATTTTCTAGGAACTTTTCATTGTCTCTCTCTTTACCAGTGCTGTTGGTCTGAAAAACAGCAAAGTGGAAGGAATATACTCTACTGGGCATTTCAAGGCAGATCATATTCATTGGAACAAATAATACTGCTAAAGACCAAATAAAAATTTTAACTGCATCCAAATATAATCCTGAATCGTATGGTTGGTTGAGAAGCACTCTAGATTACATAGCCCTAGATTTCAGAAAAAAAAATCAGTTTCAGGTTCAGATACTGCTTTTGAACCATCTTTATTCTAACTAGCATTTACTAGTGTTCTTAAGTTGTTTTTTTACCCACTAAAACACAGTGTTGAAACAGCTGCTTCTCCATTCTCCCTTCCTTCCCACCTCCTTTCAGTTCCCCAGGCATGATAAACATCCCAACATTCACAAGTGTAGGAATGCAGGTGGCTGAAACAAGCAGGTGGAAGAAGGGTGGATTGGGTTGATTATATTTGTAACAACAGTTGCCAGGTTTGTTATATACATTAGTTAACTTAGCAATACAGAAAGCATTTTAACCAAACAAAAGATAATATATGCAAGTTTTATTATTTACTATATTTTTGTCAAGCTTTTAATGAGATTGGGCCTGTCTGAAGGTATAAAACCCAGAAGATGTAATGTTTTACCTGCAGAAAATTGCACCATCAGGAAATCAAATTCTGATCCTTTTGTAGCCAACATCTTTTGAAGAAACAGAATACATGGGAATGAAATATCACAGTCTTTAGTATTTTTTGTACTTTGGAGGTGCTTTGAGGGCAAATACAGGTAAGGAAGTAGTTTACCTCTTTTATTCTTCCTATAATTGTGTTTAATTTTTTGCATAACATATCAATAAATCGCAAAGGATCAGAGAATTACAGCTGTAATTTACAGTTGGGGCTAAACTCCCTTTATTCAGGAACAGCAAATATCTGAGTCAAGATGAGAATGGGATCTCTTTCACATGCGGGATTCTTCTTGATGGCCAGTTCACACCACTGTGAGCATAATTCAGCATGGACAGCAATATTTAGACTCAGTTGAAGCTTATTATTTTAACAAAATAATTTGTTACCACTGCTCATCTTTTATCCCACAGATTTCCAGCCTTCTGGGAATAACTTAGAAAGTAGGTGTTTTGGTTTGAGATGTTGGTTTGAGTGCACTACCAACTGCTGGTTTATGTATTATCACTTACAGTGTCACTAAAACCCTAGAAATACGTCATTCTTAGGAAAATATATTTTTTCCTATGCATTTTGACTGTGTATAAGTTTTCAGTCAGAACGTTCCTACCAGAAGCACAAAGTTAAAAAATGGTGCTGTAGCCAAATGGCAATCTATTCTGACACCTCAGTTTACATTTTATTTTAATTAAAGACACCTTGTTTTACAATTATTATTCTGTTGTATAAGACCCCTGAAAGGAATCCAGCTAAGTTACAGCAAGCTAAATGGTACAAAAAATATTTGTTTACCCTTGAGTTGGTAATATTTTGTATTCATGAAATCACTAATTAATGTCTCTCATAGAGGACAAATTTGCATTGCAGAATTCCTGAGAGGGCAAAAAGAGGTAATTTTCTTTTAAAACATATATACCATTATTGTTGTGGGCATCAGAAGGTATATGCTCATTACTGTCTAGATTAAAAGTTTCTAACGTACCCAGATTCCTCCAAATTTGCATCATACTACCCTCATTCTAATAACTCTAAGAGGATGAGTAAACAGAACACAGCATTTCAACTGGGATATGTTAACAAAGTGCTGATGGCTTAAATGTAGCCAATGGTAAATTACCTTTGAAAGGTCCCCAGCCTCCAAATAGAAGCAGATAACAAACACGTTCCATGTAACCCAAAGGACCAGCCAGACAGCATACTGCAGGGGGTAAGAGAGAAACGGTGCATTAATAATTTCACTATCAGCTGAGTTAAACTTAGTTCATTAGACCATTAGTTCAATCCAAGACAAAAACTGACTGTAAATATGGTGCATATGACTAAAAATGTTACATATACAAGAGAATCAAAAATAAATTCTTCCCTTTCACAGACACACTCTAGAGTGATCTAGAGAGTACTCAGTCATGACAGAAAATCTGTATCTGAGAAAACTGTTGATAGATCTGACATCTGAATTTGAGACTAATCGGGATCTCTTATTATTGTTCAGATGGGGATACTGCAATGTCAAGGGAGGCATGTAATATCAGTTATATGTGAGAAGTGCAGACCTGTTTATTCAAATAGTTATTCAAATATAACTCACTAAATAACAAAGTCTAATTGAAGTAGGACCTGGATTCTGCAGCACTTCAGATTAGTCTCAAGAAACTAAACCAATATATATAACCTCAAGAAAATAAGCCGATATATGTTATTTTACAGTATTTCTACAAAATATGTACAGATTTGGTCACAACAACTTCCTCTATCAATATATTTTGTGACATTCCAAACCATCATTCATAATTATTCAACATCCTCAGGTGCATACTATATTTTAAATTTTAAAATGCTAGAGGATCTCGTATAATTAAGTTCGATCTGCTGTTGCTGCTCTTATCTAATGTCTCTGATTGAGAACTTCCCTTGCCAAATTACTCCATCATCTAATAAACCCTAGGATATAGAAATGGTTTGGTTTTCTAACGTCTGTTGTAGCTATCCTCTATTTGTTCACAATTCAGTTCTTCATGTTTGCTAATTTCATTCCACATACCCATCGCACTACATACGTGTAAAATACAAGAGGACACCATTCCCTACCTGTTATAGCTGAAGACTATTTCCTCCTTTTATATCACCAACTCATTTCTCTCAAGTATTTACAGACTTTCTCTACTTATTTTTGTTATCTTTTTTCCAAAATGTACTGGTTAAATTTTGCTAAACTACTTTTCCAAATCAGGAAACACTGTTTTCTGCACCCCTCCATATTATACTATCCATCCCTTACAAAAAATATCTGATGAGCATTGTTTGTCATGAGAGGCAATCTCATTATCTAAATTCAGTAACAATCTATGCAGGATTCTTCTTCCATTTCTCTTGCAAGTTCTGTTTCGCATCCAGTTGTCTACCATTCAACATGCCATTTTCTACTTAATCTTCTAGACATTGTGAAAATAATAGAATTCTGTCCTTTCTCAGGAGATCTAAAGTAAGACTATATCCAACATGAGTAAAATTTAGGCCTGTTCTGATTTCTTATTTTTATAGATAACCAAATAATTGCCAACCAGCCTAGCTATTATGTAGCACATGTACAGATTTAAAAGAATTATGATAAAGATTGTTTTGATCTAATGGAAGCTAACACAGTTGTAAAGGTTTGAATTGCTTTACACAGAAGTAATTTTAGGTAATTTAAAGCATACAGATTGCTTATACTTTATAGGACAGCTCTTTCTGGTCCATAGATCTGTTCACAGATCATAGATTTATTTAGGTCAGGAGGGACCCTCTGGAGGTCATCTGGTACAATCTTTGCTCAAAATGTGACCAGCATAGATCAAGTTGTGCAGGGATTTGTTCAGTTGAGGTCTGAATATCTCCAGGGATAGAGATTTCATGGCCTCTCTAATGCACATCTAGTCTTTGAACACAGGCTGCTCATAAAACTTTGGAATACAGGAATTTAATTCAGATTCATGGTCTTAACACACTCTTTTTTATTTATTTTTTATTTTTTTATTTTTTTTTAAACCAACGCTAAAATATTAAGTATACCGAGCATTTAATTTTCCTGTAGCCAGGTACACCTGGCTTCATATGTAACATGGAGCATTATAACTACAAGAACAAGAGAAGAAAACATTACTTTAGATTCAGTAACATTTATGTAGATTTTTTTCCTAACTGCAGTATTTTAACTTGCCAGTTTTTGCCAATTATTTTAATAAAGTTATATACAACCATACATATATTCTGATGGAGTTAACACAACTTTTCCTTCTGACACATGTAGATAAATGGATTTCTCATAATGAAAATTCTAAATACTGCATTTAGACCGGTTTCCCAAAGAAATGAGACTGAAGCAGTAGTATCACTGTGCGATGTCTGTTCCCTTTAAATATTTTCTGTGTTCCTGAAAAATTTTAAGCTAACTGGACAAAAGACTAGAACATTCAAAGATAGTTTTTCACAAAATTTTCAGGAAAATAGGCCTACAAATGGGATGGGATACTCTAGTGAGTCCTCATGCAGAGAAAGACTTACAGGATCATATTTTATCAGTCAATATAAAGAGGGAAAAGTGTGGGAGAGAGCCACTGGAAACTAGGTTTCATTAGATCGGCTGTTCATGGCCCAATTTGTCACACTGCATGCAAGCAACAGCAGATTAAAAAGCTCCCTGTGAACAGCACATGCAGCAGAACACTCCAAGGCACTTTTTTTGCTGCTTGTCCCAGCAAAGAGCCTTATGCTTACCCAAAGAAGTGAAACTTCTCTTTTCCATTCTCTATCATCAAAAAAAAGACAAATTTATCTGACTTCTAGACACACTCTTAACAAGCATCTGCTGTTATTGGACTACATCTAAGGTTTAAAAACGTCTTTTAAAAGTATGTTTTAAACTGCTTCCTTTTGAAACGTTATATTAAGTGTTTGCTGCCTGAATTCTGCGGATAGCACTGAGTATAATTGTCTTGAAATACAAGGATGCTTCTGCTTCCTACTGCTTCTTATTTCAGATGCTTCAGATCTAGCACATCTCTTATCTCTGGATCACATGAAGTCATAAATGTCTCTTGTTGTCTATGTGCTTTAGCAAATTGTTGTGGAAATTCAGTTCTGAAGGTCTGTGACAATGGACAAATCCATCTGGTACACTCTATTATATGTATCTAATTAGAAACACGTTTTATAAGAGTTCTTCAAAGGGCTATAGCTGTATTTTTTTCTCATATGTGGGAGTTCAAGACAGCTGCATTATCTGACAGAAAACACAATGCTACAGCAGTCACATATCAACAAGACAAGAACCTTGACACGCAGACACTTGACCAAGCAGGAGATACTGGCAGGAGGCATATCAATGACAACACAGCTTATTATTTTTATGGAAATCCACCCTGGAAAGAGGTAAAACTGGAAGACTAAAACTGAAGATTTAAATACTTACTTACTATTTTGTAAAGTTGTAGCCAATCAGTAAAAGCTACCTTTTTGTGTGTGTGTGTGTGAAATAAATTATATAAATACAGTTCTTATATGGTACAATACATTTACCATTCTTCAAGTAAGCATGAATTTATAACGCTGTACAAAGAATTATGAGAAGAATTACCTACTTTATGATTTCTTGATACTGTCTAGTTACAAGTTTGGAAATTTACTATGAATCATCACAAATTAATATGTCTTTTTTCTTGGGGAATAGGAAACTGAAATATTAAAATACTTATAACAGTACTAAGAATCCATACATCCCTCTTCACGCTTCTCTCAAAGTTGGCTAAGTTGCATTATCTCCATTTTACTAACAGGGAAGCTGAAGGTCAAAGAAATTAAATGACTAGACTTAATTCCATTGCCCAACAGAAAATGAACATGAGGGTATAAGAACCAAAGGTCCGGGTAGATCACTACTGCTTTTGATATAAACCTGGTCACCAGAACTCACATCTAATACTCTTGTCACTTTTCCTGAAGGAGAATCATGTCACATATATTTTGAGTGTAAATAGTAAGCAACTCTGATTGCTATGAGCATTTTCAATTTAAGCATTTTTTTCACAGAACTTTACATGACATTTCTCCTGCTCCCAAATTCTTTTTGGATATGTGAGTCAACTACAATCACATTTGACTGAGGGATATGCGGGTTCCAGACCTACAAGATATTACTTTGTGCAAAGTAATTGAATTGTTGTTGTGATTAGTGAATTGCTACTTACTTTATTTTTAGAAATGTACACAATTTTAATTTCAGATTCTTCCAAATATGACAACATTATGCCCTTGCATGTTCTATTCAGGAAAAAGAAACCAAATGCATTTCTAAAATGACAATTTCTACATTTGCCATAGTAATTAAAAATGTGACTGTTCATGCTGTCTGGGCAACAGCAGTCAAGTTGTTCAAAGATAATCTTGAGCCCCACGTGTCTGGAAAAAGCATGTCTTTCAAGTAACAACTGTCCACAAATATAATTTTCTTTGCTTCTAAAGTTTTTTTTTTCCCTAATTTCCTCTGTCTGTGAAGATACATCACTTAGAAATACAATTTTTAAACTTATCTTTTCCCCATCAAATCTGGTAACAAGTGGAATCCTGAATACTTGGCACCAACATATTATCTAAACTTATTGATAACATTCAGATAAACTTTGAGGTGGTCTACAGCTCTGCTTACCGTTGAAAAGCCCCTCTGAAATAGAAACAACTATTCTGAAGTAAACTCCAGAATAAGAAGCTTACTCCTAGAGTAAGGTGGACCAAGCTGTTCCTGAACAACAAAGTCTGTGGTTTAGTTGTCATAACATTCTGTGGTGGTGTCTTTTTGAACCTATTCAGCAGCAAATAGCAAAAGTTCTGTCTTGTTCCCATCTTCCTGGAACTAGTAAAAGATCTCTCTCAGACTCCCCAGGGAGAAGTCCATTTGACAAAGACAGCAGTTGACAGAGTGACTTCATGTGGCCACTTAGTAGGCACCATTCTCTAATTTAATCTGCTCTGTGCATTTTGCGGTTTCCTTCCCATTCCCAATGCCTGAGGCTTTCTCCTGAAAGCTGCTGAGGACGTGAGCAGCACAGCTTGGTAGAGAGTCCGGCTCTAGAAACCAGCAGGAGCCACACCTCAGTGGGAATCTTCCAGTGAAGAGCAGGATCAGAAACCACAGCTGGACTCCAAAGAGGAATTGGGAGCCAA